TCCATCCATCCATCCATCCATCCATCCATCCATCCATCCATCCATCCATCCATCCATCCATCCATCCATCCATCCATCCATCCATCCATCCATCCATCCATCCATCCATCCATCCATCCATCCATCCATCCATCCATCCATCCACCTACTGTACTTGGGCATCCATTTACCTCTACAAGTTTTCAGGGAGCAACAGCTGAAGATCTTCAGACCTCCATCTCCCTAGCTGCCTCCTCCAGCTGATCAGGAGGGACCCCATGGGTCAGCCCTGAGGTCTTTTCTCAGTGGGACATGTCCCTTAGAAGTTGTCCAGAATATATCTTTATCAGAAGCCCAAACCTACTCAGTTGACTTCTTTAGGGGAGGTAGACGATTTTACTCTAATCTCGTCCCAAATGGCCAAACTCCTCATTCTGTCTTTATAGGGGTGAGTCCAGACTCTATTTTAGCTCCACAAATTGCCACTTTATTGTGGTTGAGGGGTTTGAGTGTCCCAAGAATCCCAGAAGCCATGTTATCGATGTCATTTTGCTCCGTGGTACAGTGGTTCTGGGTAAGGGGCCAGACAAATCATGATTTAACAATCCTTACAATGACTACAAGATCAAGGTACAACAACACCTTAACAGGACTTGGGATACCTGGGTCTCAGTCTATAGGCCTTGGGGAGAGCCTCACCAGGGAGCACTTAATAGCTGGGCCTGTAGCTATGATGTCCAACGAAGTACACCGTAGTAAAGCTACATGGGACCTCACTTTGGATCCATCACCTGCAGGAGGGGCTGAACAGGTCCGTACTTTGTGGACTGGGCAGCAGTTGAAGTCAGGGGTCTTGACAGTCCATTTCCTGGCTGCTGGTATTGGTTTTGAGAAAAGATCGAACCTATGATCCAGTACCACCTTGTACAACATACTGCAAAGTTTTGGTCCATGTTGACATCAAATCCTGTAGCATCTGTCTAACAAAAGCTAATCTAACAAGAAAGGTACTTTACTAAGCTTCCCATGTTCAACTTCTCAGAGATTGTTATTTCTCTTTTATGAGGGAACAAAAAAACAAACAAACTGAAACAGAATTAACACCAAGTTACCATTTTGTTAATGGTGTCAAATGAGGACATTTTCTGCACTCGCTGGTTGGTCTTATTTGTGGTCTTGAGTTTAGGTCAGTGTCACAAGAAAGTGCCTCATCTGATAAGGAAGGTTGCTGTCATCATTGCTGATAAATAATAAATTAACATAGAATTTTGTTATTTTAAATGGAAGCACTGCTTTAATTCTTTTAAATGTTTTTTTTTATACTGTCACGTATGCCTATACTTTGCTTTTCCACCTGTTAAAAAAAATATATATATTTTCAGTAAATTGTAAAAATACTCTAGAGCCTCGATAATGTTTTCTTCCCATTCTTTAAAATGTAAGTGACGTGTCTTGTCTTTACTACGCAAGTTCCTTTACAAAGACTCTCCCAGTAAAAATGGACTACCTTGTTCCCCCAATATTGTCTGACCTGACTGAGTCTCATTTTGTGCTTCCTTGATGTTTTTTGTCTAAAAAAAGGTTGTGGCTTTCTGCAGAAGCACACATCCTGTAACAGCCCTTTGAAAAAAAAAAAAAGAACACGGATACTCTCTTGAGTAGCATCACACTGTGTAAGCAGAAACACTAAACACTTTGCAGTGTTGTTCGTCAAAAAAAAAATCCAGTTAATATCGGAGATATTTGGAAAAAATACAACTTTTTTATTGTACACAACTAAAGCCATGGAGCGCTGTAACATCACACAAACAGTAGGTAAGTCTAAGAAAGGTTATTTTAATGTTTTTGGCTGTAAGATAAAGAGTGAATAGGAGAGTTTTAAATAATCAAAGTGTTTATTCTTATGTTTTTATGTTAAAGCCATGACTGCATGGTGCAAACCACATTATGTTTTACATCTTTTTAGGACGTAAGAGCAAAAACAGCAGATTTATTGTTTCCTGCACCAGAAAAAATAATATATTTTTCAGTGCTGACTTTGTTTTACAGTTGTTCCTGATGTAGATCCTCAGTCATTCAGGAAATGACAATAACAAACTCAACTAGTCTCAATTCCTGATTCCTTTTGATTTAACGTTGTCGATAAATAACTTTTGAATTATAATATGACAGCAGCTGACCTAATGTTTAGTTGTTGCAGCCAGTTTACAGTATTAACTTACATCCACCAGCACTTAATGCACATAAAACGTCACTGACTGCATGTTTTGAAATAAGCAAAACTTTTGGCAAATGAAAGCAATTTATGACCAGCTGCCAGTTTTTTGTAGCACAACTACCTGAAGAATGCTTTAACACTGCATTGAACAGGTGTTAATATTTATGAAGAGGATCTTTATCTTAATTTTGACATATTTCTGTAGTTTACTGTTTGCTGACAACTTTTAAGTTATAATGCAACATGATGTTGAGCAAAGCGAGTTCAAACATAAATACTCAACCTTTGTGGCAGCGCTAGCTGCAAAAAAGCCAAAATATCCCTCAGAAAACTGGATGTCAGTCAAGAATTCAGAAATGTAAACAGGTTTTTAATATATGAATAATTTAAATGGTATAAAATTGCTCCAGATGTAAATAGGATGCTTAAACTGACCGAGGATGTGACGATCTTATAAAGGGATGCAGTAGCTCGGCGGTCAGTGGCATGGTCCGTAATTCTGAGGTTGTAGGTTTGAGCCCAGGTTCTGACAGGAAAGGTGTTCAGTGTAAAACATTTACCAAATGATGTGAGTTCACTCACTTTGTGAACTCTTGAAGAAGGGAGCAACTGAAAGAAAAACAACAACCTGGCATGCTTATAAGGAAAGGAGAATAAATTAATCCGATTACCCCGAGTATTCATAATAAACAAATTGACAATATAAACTAAAGAATAAATCATTTGAATAAATATGTATATCTATTTGTCGGTCAAGACGACCACAAAAATTAAAGTGGCGTTTACTGCCGACACTTTTAACAAAAGTCTTGTGTATAATAAATGACCAGCACTTACAGATAAGATAATATGGAACTTTAAAGATTTTTAAAACAATTTAAATCTAGGTTGTAATCAAGGTTAGAAGCATCAAGACACTATTAAACTGGCCATTTAACAATTTACAAGTGGCAAGAACTAATGTAAACTTTTTAAAACATGTTGAAAGAAGAAATATTCAGTTAAATTTACTATGTTCATCTCAACTCTAGATTTGCATCATAATGTGAAATGATTTTATGGTTTGGTGGTCCCATTGTCAGACCTTGTGAAACAAAAAGCACAGAAATAGGAGAAAGTCTTAATTTAATTAAAAATTATATATATATATATATATATATATATATATATATATAT